CTGTTTGTACTGTCCTGTCAGTTTGTACTGTCATGCCTGTTTGTACTGTCATGTCTGTTTGTGCTGTCATATCAGTTTGTACTATGTCTGTTTTGTACTGTCATACCCTGTTTTGTATATCATGTCAGTTTGTACTGTCATGTCTGTTTGTACTATCATGTCTGTTTGGCATACTGTCATGTCTGTTTGTACTGTCATGTCTGTTTGTGCTGTCATGTCTGTTTGTACTGTCATGTCTGTTTGTACTGTCATGTCTGTTTGTACTGTCATGTCTGTTTGTACTGTCATGTCTGTTTGTGCTGCCATGTCTGTTTGTGCTGTCATGCCTGCTTGTGTTGCCATGTCTGCTTGTGTTGCCATGTCAGTTTGTACTGTCATGTCTGTTTGTACTGTCATGCCTGTTTGTACTGTCATGTCAGTTTGTACTGTCATGTCTGTTTGTACTGTCATGTCTGTTTGTACTGTCATGTCTGCTTGTGCTGCCATGTCTGCTTGTGCTGCCATGTCTGCTTGTGTTGCCATGTCTGCTTGTGCTGCCATGTCTGTTTGTGTTGCCATAACTACTTGTGCTGTCATGTCTGCTTGTGCTGCCATGTCTGTTTGTGCTGTTATGTCTGCTTGTGCTGCCATGTCTGTTTGTGCTGTCATGCCTGCTTATATTGCTGCCATGTCTGCTTGATGCTGTCATGTCTGTGTGTATTTACCATGTCTGTTTGTGCTGTCATGTCTGCTTGTGTTGCCATATCTGCTTGTCTGCCATGTCTGTTTGTGTTATATATCTGTGCTGTCTGTTTAATGCTGCCATGTCTGCTTGTGCTGTCATGTCTGCTTGTGTGCCATGTCTGTTTGTGCTGTGCTTGTATGTTGCCATCTGCTTATGCTGTATGTCTGTTGTTGCCATATCTACTTGTGCTGCCATATCTGCTTGTGTTATATCTGCTTGTACTGTATGTGTTTGCCATATCTACTTGTGCTGTAATACTTGTGCCTGCATATCTGTTGTGTACTATTATGTCTCTTGCCATGTCTGTTGTGTTACCCATCTACTTGTGCCATGTCTGTTTGTGCTTTCATTATGTCTCCTTGTGCTGGTGTCTGTTTGCTGTCATGTCTGTTTTGTGCTGTCATGTCTGGGCAATGCTGTCATGTCTGCTTGTGCTGCCATGTCTGCTTGTGTTGCCATGTCTGTTTGTGCTGCCATGTCTGTTTGTGCTGTCATGCCTGCTTGTGTTGCCATGTCTGCTTGTGTTGCCATGTCTGCTTGTGCTGCCATGTCTGTTTGTGCTGCCATGTCTGTTTGTGCTGTCATGTCTGCTTGTGCTGTCATGTCTGCTTGTGCTGCCATGTCTGCTTGTGTTGCCATGTCTGCTTGTGTTGCCATGTCTGTTTGTGCTGCCATGTCTGCTTGTGCTGCCATGTCTGCTTGTGCTGCCATGTCTGTTTGTGTTGCCATATCTACTTGTGCTGCCATGTCTGTTTGTGCTGTCATGTCTGTTTGTGCTGCCATGTCTGTTTGTTTTGTCATGTCTTAGCTTGTGCTGTCATGTCTTAGCAATATGTATGTCTTAGCGGCCTTTCTCTGCTTGTATTTGCCATGTCTGTTTTGTGCTGCCCTGTCTTGTATTATATGCTTGTGCTGCCATGTCTGTTTGTGTTGCCATATCTACTTGTGCTGCCATGTCTGTTTGTGCTGTCATGTCTACCTGTACTGTTGTAATAAAGCTTTTAATTTACCTTTTATTTTCTTTCTTCTTAGTTCTTAATTCTTGACTTATTTCTTTATTTTTTCTTTCGTTCTCTTTATACTCGTGAGATGGGGGGGGGGAGGATAATTGGGGAAGAAGGGAGTGAGAGAGATGGGAGGAGGAGGCCAATCGGCTTGTGGTCGACAACCATCCTCGCACAAAAGGGAGAGGGAGGGAGAAGGGAAGTAGTTTAGTTTAACAAATTTATTGACAAAGCTTGTAGTACAGTTTGCCTATTCTGAGTAATTCAGTCAGGTCTTGACACTGAGGGTGGTATCTTCTGGTACCACAGAGACAGAGGTTCATACACAAAATACATCATATTAATTAACAGTATATATATATATATATATATATATATATATATATATATATATATATATATATATATATAACCACAAGGAAGAAAAGCTTGAAAGTTCCATTTCATTAATTCAGGGGTGAGTACAGGCTAGTCTGTACTCACCCCTGAGTGCAACATATATATATATATATATATATATATATATCAGATTCATGTGGGTATTTTTTTTTTTTATTAGGCACTCCCCTACATCCTTGTGTAAGGTGAAGCGCAGAAGCGTTTACAGTGCCCAACAGGGAAGCATGCTAAGTTCATGCTTGCCTTTATGTCTCATGAGTTAAGGGCGTAGAAGCCTGAAGAGTCAAGGGCATATAAGCCTGAAGAGTCAATGGTTTATGTCATCAAGTTATTGGAAGCTCCAACAATTTGTTCCTGAATACGAATTCGCAACTTTCGACTTACAATAGGTACCTACTTTACTGCAAGGTGAACAGGGACTAATGGGGGTTAGAAAGTATGTCCAAACAACTTCCACCGGCCCGGGAATCGAACTCGTGACATCTCGCTTGTGAAGGCAAGAGCGGTACCACTCTACCACCAGCACCCTATGTAGGTATTGTCACTGTTCACTGCCATTTAGGACAGAGGTTCGTACACAAAGAAATGCATCATATTCATTGACACTATATACTGTATAGGTCAGATTCATGTGGGTAATGTCACTGTTCACTGCCATGCAGGACAGAGGTTCGTACACAAAGAGGGAAATACATCATATTCGTTAGCAGTATATATAGGTCAGTGGTTCATATACATTGGAGTCATATTCTAATTGAAGACTAATCAGTTTAGGCTAGCAAATTTGGGATAAACAGCAAGAATGTCCTCAAGCACCCCAGCTGGGGAATAGGAGTAACCTGCAATAACTGGGGCACTCGGGTGAAACAGGTGATAGTTATGTTGTCATTCATGGGTCACTGTATCACTGTTCACCACCAAGACATTTACTTATAACAAATCAACTTTTCTCAATAAGGGGAAGGCTGAATTATGACACTTCAATGGTTACTGTATTTATTGAACGCTTTCTATTAAGATTGACAATTATACTTCAAACCAATAGCCCTATTTTCCTAGCTAGTTAAACGGGAGTCACACAAGTCACAATACATTTCGTGAAACGGATAAAACCTTAAGTGTACTTACATACTGTAAATAACATATACCCCGCCATAATGGGAAGCTGACCTCACACATCTGTACGCTGTCGTACAGGGTGTTATGGCGGGTAATCTTTGTTTAGGCAGAATTTTCATGTATTTCCTCTAAATCATGACAATTTACTCTAAAAAAAGTCACTGTTACACTGTCATGTTTGTTTGAGCCGTCATGTCTGCTTGTTCCGTCATGTCTGCTTGTGCCGTCATGTCTGCTTGTGCCATCATGCCTGTTTCTGCCGTCATGTCTGCTTGTGCCATCATTTCTGCTTGTGCCGTCATGTCTGCTTGTGCCATCATGTCTGCTTGTGCCATCATGTCTGCTTGTGATATCATGTCTACTTCTGCTATCATGTCTGCTTCTGCTATCATATCTGCTTCTGCTATCATGTCTGCTTTAGCTGTCGTGACCTGTACATGGCTTTCATCGACCTAACCAAGGCCTTCGACTCGGTCAACAGGGAAGCCCTCTGGTGGACCCTCAGCCGTTTTGGCTGCCCTCCAAAATTCATCGCCATTGTGAGGCAACTCCACGACGGCATGAACGGCAGTGTCCTACACAACGGCACCCAGTCTGAGTTCTTCCCCATCCAAACGGGGATTAAACAAGGGTGTGTACTGGCACCAACTCTCTTTTCCATTTTCTTGGCTGCCTTCCTTACTCGTGCCAGTGCCAATTTAGCCGGCAGGGTGGACATCGAATACCGGGTGAAGGGTATTTTCGACATTAGACGACTCCGGGCAAGAACAAAGGTGTCGGCAGTTTCCATTACCGAACTTCAGTATGCAGACGACCTCACCCTTGTTGCTCACACTGAACACGACCTACAGGAGATCCTAAACATCTACGCAGATGCTTATGCGCACTTTGGCCTTGAGGTGAATTTACGTAAGACTCAGATTCTCTTTCAACCTACCCCAAGTTTAGACACACCTCCACCATCCATCCATCCTGCTTAACGGTACTACCCTCTCTAATGTTACCCACTTTCGGTATCTCGGCTCCCACCTGTCCACCAACTCAGACATTGATGAAGAGATTCAGCACCGGATCAGATGTGCATCTCAAGCTTTTGGCGGACTCCGAAACCTTGTCTTCAGCTGTAGGGAGCGGAAATTATCCACAAAGCCGCATGTACAGTATATCGAGTAGTGGTCCTCCCCACCCTCCTATATGGCAGTGAGACATGGGTCACACACAGGTAGCACCTCAAGGCACTTGAAAACTTTCACCAATTTAGTCTACGTTCCCTCCTCCGAGTTTGCTGGGAAAACAAGAGAACAAATGCCAGTATTCTTGCTGACACCAACTGTAGGAGCATCGAGGCTACCATTATCCATGAACA